GCAAAAAAGTTTATAAATTGTTTGAGGAATTTGGAAAAGTCAGAAAACTAGTATTTGTGACACATAACTGTCCTATGTTTCTAACCTTTACTCTAATTTTTCTTAGATTTTTGAATGCGTTTTATAAAAAACTAGAGGCCCAAAGAATAGGCCTTCCTTCCCCTGGCTGCCGGCACCACCTTCGCTCTGGCTCAGAGCCGCCTTTCCACCTTCCCACGCTGCCCAGAGGCCTGGAGCAGCTGGGGTGATGTGGAACACCTGTGTCGTCGCCATGGCTGCTTGGCGTCTGCACGTGTGCGTGCTGCCCACAGGCCCACCATCTTTGTTGGGTTAATTTGCATACTCACACCTGATTGGCTGTGGGTGTCACGAAGGGATGGCCATTTTACATATTTGTCTATTATTAATATAGATATCTAACATACTATTCATTAGAAAGCTTTCCAAACTTTGAAAGTTTGTCTATTTAACAAATATTTGTTACTCTCCCTACCATATAATAGAATTAATTAACTTGGCATAATACTCTCATGAGACTTACATTTTTTGAGAGAGGAAAGATATAAGTAATATAGTAAATAAATTAAATCATTATATATAATCTGTGCTGTTAGAATAAATAGAATGACATTTATTTAGATAAGGCGATCTGTGAAGGCCTTTGTGTCGGTAATATTCAAACTGAAAAGAAAGGTTTGATGAGCTAGTCAGTCAGACAGCGGGAGGAGAGCATTCTGGGGAGGAAAAGCAAATACCAAGACACTGAGATAAGAAGGGACTTGGCATAGCATAGGAATTGACAGAAAGTATTTATGGGTGGAATTTAATGAACAAAGTGGAGTGTGGAATGAGATAGGCAGGTGGGCAGAAGCCAGATTAGTCAGGGCCTCTGTAGGTAAACCTTAGGAAAGCCGTTCGAAGGTTTAAGCCCTAGAATGAGATAATGGGATGTAAAGAGCACTGTGGCTGCTAATGGACTAACTGAAGGCTGCAAATGCAGAAGCTAGGAGACCACTTAGGAAGCTGTTACAGTAGTCTAGGCCAGGGGTGGTGGTAGTTTAGACTAAGTGGCCACGGAGATGAAGAAAAGGAGGTGGATTCAAGATATTTATTTGAGCCCGGCCAGCATGGCTCAGTGGTTGAGCGTTGACCTAGAAACCAGAAGGTTATGGTTTGATTCCTGGTCAGGGTACTTGCCCAGGTTGCAGGCTCGCTCTCCAGTGTGGGACGTGCAGGAGGCAGCTGATCAATGATTCCCTCTCATCGTTGATGTGTCTATCTCTCTCTGCCTCTCCCTTCCTCTCTAAAATCAATAAAAAATATATTTTAAAAAAAGTATTTATTTGAGAGTGAACTGATGGACTTGCTGATGGGTAGAAAGGGACAGGTAATTAAGGGAAAGAAAATAGAAAGTGAGGACTTAGGGTTCTGACTAGTGATTGAGTAAAAGATGATCCTAATAATTGTGAGGGAGAAGTTTGGGGACAAATAGGTTTCGGAGGGATGGAAATTAAAGTCTTAAGTTTGGACATGTCAAGTTTAAGATACCTGTGCGAATGTGAAGGGAGATATCAAGTAGCTAGGGGTGTGTGTGTGTCTGTGTGTGTGTGTGTGTGTGTGTGTGTGTGTGGTATTTATATTACAAATCTAAACTCCTAAGGGAAGATTAGGCTGAAGATGTAGTATGAGTGTCAACAACTGTATATAGACGGAAAAGAAGACCCAGGAGAGAACTCAGAACACCGATGTGTATTGGAAGGGAAGAGGAAGAAGAACCAGAGCTAGAAGGAGACTGAGGAGGAGTGTCCACAAAGACAGGAAAAATACAAGCATAGTGAGTTCCAGAAGCTAAGTGAAAAAGACATGGGGTGGATCTGATGCTTTGAATAAGTCACATAGGGAAAGGCTTGGGGGCAGGCGTGTCGGAAGAGGGTGCATAGGATTTAACACAAAACAGACTGGTGTTTTTGTCAGAAGTAGTTTTTTTTTAAATATATTTTTAATGATTTCACAGAAGGATGGAGAGGGAGAGAGAGATAGAAACATAACGATAAGAGTCATTAACCAGCTGCCTCCCCCACACTGGGGATTGAGCCTGCAAACCCAGGCATGTGCCCTGACCGGGAATCAAACCCTGACCTCCTGGTTCATAGGTCCACACTCAACCACTGAGCCACGCGGGCTGGGCTGTCAGAAGTAGTTTTATAAGAGCTATTTGGGAAGAAGCCAGATTGTAATCAGCTGAGGAGGGAGTATCAGTAAAGAAGGATTCGGCTCTTACAGTTTAAAGGGGACCTTGGTTAGTACTACTATAGTAGCTTGAGTATTACTGAGAGTATTCCTTTATTCCTTGGTCAGAAGTCTAAACTTATTTTAACTACTCATTACTAGTATGCTCACTTTTTTACAGACAGTCCTGTGTAGAATTCTAGTTCATCAGAGAAAAATAAAATATCACAGGTAAGCAAATCACAGCCCCTTTTAGCAGCATTTTGTAAAAATGTGCAGTCCATTTAGCAGGTAAGATCTTTTCATTTTCTTTGGTAAGAAGCTTATGAAGTCAAGAAGATGATTTGAACTCTCTTTTTCAAGTTAAAACACCCAAGTGCTAGTGATACATTTTTTCCTGGGCTCTACGATTTTCAGTGCTAAAACTGAGCTAGTCCCTGGCAAACTGGAGGATTGGTCACCTTCCCTGACAGTATGTTTGCCCTTCTGACAGACTAAAGCCTTTGACTCATAGGAGAGATTGAAAAAGGATCCAGGTAGAATGTCATGTCCCTTCTGCACGACTGCTTTTCCACTCCTGGAGGCCTGCACCAAACTGGACACTCTCTCAAGATTCTCTCTCTTGTCACCTTTCGGGTCTGGTGGGATTTCTGGTGAAAGAATCTGCAAGGAGGTGCGGACTCCCCCAGTTTATCTGTATGCCGGTGCCTTCCCACTGTCCCCCGAGCCCGCAGGCTGCCTTCACCTGCGCCCTGACTGTTCTAGCTGTACCCTCCTTAAGGTGTCCGGTTGCATCGATCCCAAGTAAGCAAGTGCTACCGTCCCCTGTCCGCTCTGTCCTTGCAGGTGCCTGCCTCTCTCTTAGTTTAGGCCAAGTTGTTTGCGCTGCGACTTCAGCTCTCTTATGGGTTTGGTTCGAAATAAGTCATGAGTTTGGATTTAGTCTTACTTTGTTTCACTGTAAGGATGGTGACAGCGCTTCTTGTAGCTCTCTACACCCCACAGTAGAAACTAGAACCTTGCTTCACAAAATCTAAAGTACATGGAAAATCACCCGGGAATCTTACGGAAGCCCAGATTCTGTTTCCGTACGCGGGAGACAGGGCCCGAGGTTCTGCATTTCCAACAAGTGTCCAGTGGTTTCAGTGTTGCCGGTCCGGGGATCCTGTCCTGAGTAGCAAGGTGACAGCAGGTGGTCTTGCTTTTTGTCTTAAGGTGGGAAAGAGGCGAGGTCAAGTAGATAAACGTAGGCGTGCTTGAAGTGCGACAGGGAACAGGCAAACCGATGTGAGAATGATAATGTGGGATGTGGCACATTTGGTGAGCTGGCAGAATTTTATGTTTGTGTGTGAGAAAGATCTTAATGGTTTAAAAAACATGATCCTAGCTTTTTTTTTGTTCTTCTCAAAGGGCCTTCTTAAAGACATTAGAAGAAAATGTGAATTGTTAATACTGATTTTATAGGTATACAACAGGAACTTTTTAGTGTAATTGTGCTTTCCCCACTTCACATTACTTCTTAAGTTTTGAAACAATCTCAAATTTATAGAAAAGGTTTAAGTATAGTACAGTAAGCTCCCCCTCCACTCTCTATACCCCCATTCCCCCACAAATCACTTGAGAATATGTTGCTGACATGAAGCCTTACCATCCCTGTCACAGGTTAAGTTCCGTGGGAAGCAGTCTCCGAGACAAAGATGACCATAAGACATTTGTTGGGGAATACTGTGTCAATGGAAGCCTTAGCTGACCCGGTGGAGGCTTCTAGAGATAGGATGGCCCCTCCGTGCTGTCCTGAGTTGGGCGAGAAGTCTCCCAGCCTGTGAAATTGAGCTCTTGGGTGTGGGCTGCCCTGGGCAGGGGGCAGGGCTGCGGGTGCGGCGGCATTCTTCAGCAGAGGCGGTCCTCCAAGATGAGGGGGTGTTGACACCGCTGTTGAACTGCTGCCGTTTGAGACACTCCAGACACGCAGCCAGAGGGGCCTGGAGAAGGCGCACCTATTCTGGACGTCAGTGAGGAGGTTGTGATGAAGAGGATGCAGATGTTCCAGGGGAAGTGACTCTGGTGCCAACTTCACACTAAAGGAGCTCTCAGAGTCATTTTATGACATTGAGACTACAAAGGATAACGTGTATAAGCTAATCCAGACTCACAACGGAGTGTGGCAGCTCACCCAGGCCGAGAGAAGATGCTTGCTCCACACTGTGAGATGTGATGAGTGCTAGCACGGTTCAAGCTGCCTTGGATCATCTTCTTTACAAAGAGATAATAAAACACTTTAACTCAGTGTTTCTAATATTTTAAAGGATGGCATACTACATAAACTTTAGTTTTATTATTTCCAAATTTTCCTTTCTAATTGTCAGTAGACGAGTTGTTAAATTTTTTTTATTGTGATATAATTGACATACACTGTATTAGTTTCAGATATACAAGATATTTGTATACATTGCAAAATGATCACTACAATAAATCTAGTTAACATCCGCCACCATACATAATTCCAAACTATTTTTTCCTTGTGAGAGAGATTTCAATGTTTGGAAATTTTATTTTTAAAGATCACAGAACAATTGTAATTTTCTCCATTGCTTATTAAGATTTTGTAGTTTCAGCCTGCACTGTCATTTTAATGGTCCCACACAACTGTGCAAAGTGAGAACTGCCTATATTCAAGCATGCTTCATTTCAAACTTTCATATACCCTTTTATTTATACATATTTTATTGACTTTATTGCTTGAATACATTCTGATTTTTAAATATTTTTAGCATGCAGATTTCCCAAACCTGAGGTAGCCATTATGAAGACGGCGAAGAAGGTATCATCAGCAGAGACCCCTGATAGTTTTGGTATAGTACCATCTTAACAGTATTGATTGTTCACTAGGTGTTTACTGCAGATAGCAAACATCTATTTAACAGAACTTCTTGACTTTTTGCTGGTTTGAAATAGCATGCTTTAGTTATAATGACATTTTTTTTGCATCATTGTTTTGGACTACCTACAAGATATTTTTTATTATCTAATCCTAGATTTTGTGGATATGATAGAATAATAATTGCATGTTTAATTAACTGAAGGATTAAACTTATGACCTTAACAAAAGACAAAATCACTTATATTTAATTATATTTAAATAGCGTATTTTAAAAAGTTGTTGCAGTAACCCCGGCAAGGGACACATAACGAGCAACAAAGATGAATGAGTAGGGAAAAAGGGCCACACAGGGAAACCTTCAGAATATTGTAAAGAGAAACTGTATTTAAGTAACTAAACTTCACAAAAATGTATTTTAAAAATAAAATAATTTGAAAGGCTTATATAATTGCATTTTAAGGTCATTCGTGAACATTTTTGTTTTTAAGATTCAGTTTCCATACAGCTTGATATCTAATTTATGTTGCATTCTGTAGTGGTGGTGGTACTGGGAGAATTGTATTTTGTGTGTGTGTGGTTGTGTGTGTGAGAGAGAGAGAGAGAGAGAGAGAGAGAGAGAGAGAGAGAGAGAGAGAGAGGGAGAGAGAGAGAGAGAGAGAGGAACAGAGAGGAACAGAGAGAGGGATAGGTGTACATATAGAGAGAGATGGGAGAGGGAGGCAGGTATACAAATAAATCTCTCTCTGTTCCTATTTTATTTTTTATTACTATTTAATATAGATACATTGCCTAAGAAGTATACTAGTAACACAGTATATAAAAAGGAATCAAATATTTTGTGGACCAATTGAAATTTTAAAAGGATAAAGGGTAAATACAACTTAGTTTGCTTAGGCTTTATAGGGGTGTGGGCAAATGTAGGCTTACAGTTGTTTGTATGGGAAAATACATGCAGGTTAAATCAATGATTTAATACAATAAACTGTTTCACATACTGACAGTGTTTCACATATTCATATACAATTGATTGTTGGTTCTTCTATATTTTTATTGAGAGTTTACTTTTAAAAAGAAAATAGAAGAAGAGAATGAGAATATAGGTTTTGGACTTGGCTCTGTGTCTTTGAGTAAGTCACTTAACATCTCTGGGCTGAAGTGGCTGCATCTTCAAAGTGGAGAATTGAGTCAATATTTCTCAGTGGGCATACTGCTGGCATTTGGGCTGGATAATTCTTCATTATAAAGGACTTTCTTGTTCATTATAGGATGTTTAGAATTCCTAAAGCCAGTAGCATTTCGCAGTCATTATCACATCCAAAATATCCCTGCATTTCTGAGCATCTTGTAAGGTGATGATGAACCACCCCAAGTTGAGAACCACTGGCAGCTGGGTTCTAAGAATCCTTTTACTACTCACATTCTATAAAAGATTTTTATTTGGGGAATAATTTAAAGAGGAAAAGGTAATGTGTTGACTGAAAAATCTCTGCTCATTCCTAGTATAAAACAATTTATATTTATTTATGTATTTATGTATGTATGCATGTATGTATGTATGTATGTATGTATTTATTTTTGTTAATCCTCCCCCAGGATATTTTTCCATTAATTTTTAGGGAGAGTAGAAGAGAGAGGGAAAGACAGAGAAACATCGATGTGAGAGAAACACAGGGGGAGGAGCCTTGCCTTCTGCACTAGCGCACACCAGGGCCCGGACGGGGGAGGAGCCTGCAACCCAGGTGCATGCCCTTGACCAGAATCGAACTCAGGATCCTTTGGTCCACAGGCCAACGCTCTATTCACTGAGCCAAACCGGCTGCAGTGGTCGGCCAACTCATTAGTCAACAGAGCCTAATATCAACAGTACAACGATTGAAATTTCTTTTGAGAGCCAAATTTTTTAAACTTAAACTATATAGGTAGGTACATTGTTATTAACTTAATTAGGGTACTCCTAAGGCTTAGGAAGAGCCACACTCAAGGGGCCAAAGAGCCGCATGTGGCTCGAGAGCTGGAGTTTGCCGACCACAGGTAGGTCAAAGCAATTTTATTTTTAAATGAATATCTTCTGGGACTCTATGTAACTATACCCACAGATATATCTACCATTTATAATATTCCAAGACAAATTATTAATTTGTCCTAACTCACTTTAAGTTTTACATCTATAATATAATACAACATCCATAATTAAATGATTTTCTAAACTTATTATAGTGCTATCTCTATACCTAATAAGTTATAAGATCTGTTTTTTAAAAGTTGTACTGTTTTAATATCTTAGTCTTTTTTAAAGGGAATATCATTGTACATAGTAATCATTCTTTTTGTCTTCCTTTGGCATGAAGGAAGGGAAGGAATGTAGCCTCTGTATATTAAGTAGTGTATATAATTACCCCAAGTACACAAGTTAGACATGTAAAAGCAACCACTAATCAATAGTATGTTTGATTATCTTTAAAAACTTTATGAAATGACAGCTATAAGAGAAATAAATTGTTATACCCCTAGTATTTACTATTTCTTAAGCCAGAGGTAAACAATTACAGGTGAGTGTATTAATGAGGTTAGTAAAGATGATGATTCATTGGGCATTATCACCTCATCATTACTACTGGGCAACTCCTGTTCTCTCAACTGTTACACCCAGGGCCTGCCTCAGCCCAGGAACTGGTTAGTTGCCCTTAAGTAAACTGGATGGCAGTCTAGATTGCAATGAAGACCCAGGTCGCATGATACGTGCCCCAGACGGTTAATGAAATGACAGTATTATGTGATCTACATAGAAATTTCTTTACTCCATAATGTGCATGAAACTTTTAAATGCTAAATAAAATTACAAAATCACACTGAAATTCTTTTTTGGGGGACGGGGCAGGGGAGCCTTAGCTAAAGCATATATATTTTTTAAAATAATTTTAAAATCCTTTTATAATTACAGTCTTAATTTTAAAATACAAAAACCTGTTGATTGAAATTTACTAAGTTAAAAAGTTAAGTTCCTTGCTGTTTCTAAAGAGTATTTTCAGTTTTGAATGTCAGTTTTTATATTTCTGAGCCACATTAACTTATTTTAAAATATTGCTATGTAGCTTCATAAATCTCTTTTAGGTGCATGTCTTCTTTTTGGCATTTAATATGATTTGCTTAAATTGTTTTGCATACAGCATGGTTTGTACTTCAAGTTTGTATTTTTAAATGTTATATATTTATTATAAATTTTACTTTATCCATTGAAACTTTTGGTTCTATTAAAAGTTTAAGCAGTTATTTATAATGTTCAGAAAGATAGCCCCCAAATTGTTTCTTAAACATGGTAGCTTCATCTCTGTCTTTTTTATAAATCTCTCATTAGGCCAAATAGTGGTTTGTGTGGCCAAGTCTACGCCTGTACTTTATGGGGAAAATGTTAGGGTGGGGCTTGGGGCAGATATTAGGTGGTCAGAAGGTCAGAAAGTAGATAATTGCCACTTAAAAAGTATTTGTTTTTTTTGTAATTAAAGGACTAGTGTGTGCATTAAACTGCTCCTTTTATGTCATTCAGGGTGAAGTTGCTTTGGTATTTACTACATCTATTATAAATGATTTTGAATTTTTCCCTGGATTTGTGATCTTATATTAATGTTCACTAACTTTTTCTTCTGTCACCTCTCTTTTGATTTTAAGCCTTTTCAATTACTTTTAAAGTTTCAGAAAATGTATTTTTCAGTTCTCAAACTTTAAATGGGTTCTGTTTTTTTATAATTTCTATTCGAGCATATTTTCATTTAGGCCTTCAGTATAATTTTGAATGTAATTTCATCTGCTACTTCTGATACTTGAATTACTTTCGATTGGTCTCCATCTATTGTTTTTCCTGAGACTGAGTCATGTTTTCCTGTTTCTTCATGAAGTAATTTTGAATTGTACCCTAGTCATTGCTGTGATTATTATGTTACAGAGACTCTGGATTCTGTTTTATTCTTTAAAATATAGATTTTTAACATTTGGTGTAGCAGGCCATTAATGGTTAGGCTTAAACCACAAACTCTTGGGCTGCAGCTTAAATCTTTAGTTATTTTACCCTTAGCTAGGATTTTGGGGGTTTTCCCTGCCACGTGTGTGTGGCTCATGGATCAGCCATATATTTGAACTGAACGTACTGGTATATAGAATGTAGGACTCCTCCATTCTGACTCTGTTTTTTCCAGGATTCACCTCTCACTTTCTGGTGGCTTTTGTTACTTTGTACCCTGTTCACTGCTTCTTCAGACCAGAAAGTCTGAACATATTAGCATTTGAGTTGTCCTACAGGTTGTGGATTGAGGCGTGCCCTTAGGCCCAAAGCTGCAACAAACAGGCAACTCATTTAATACCATTCCTCCAGAATTCCAAGTGTTGATTCCTTTCCAGAATCAACCTATTTTTGGTCATTTTTTTAAATGCTTTTGGTTGGTTATTTGTTTATATTGTATTTTAGTCTATACTTTAGAGTTGTTCTAGGCAGAAAAGGATTGGTTTGATAGAAGGTTATTCAGCCAGTGTTAGAAATAGGACCAGAATTTTTTAGGTAAAAATAGTTGGAAAATATGGTGTGTGGTGAAGTACAATCTTAATGTCATATTATTTTAAAATATTCAGGAAAAGAATAGAGAAATTATGATGTATACAATACACACACCGTAATGCAAAGAATTGGTTTTTCTGACGGCAAAGTCTGCTGCTGACTTTAGATTAGAATACAGTTCCAGTGTAAGTGTAGATAGTTTACCTATGTCAGAAGGAAATTCCTAAGGTTAAGATACCTATGTAGTGAAATAAAGCTTCTAGCGTTTATTGTGACTATTTTCAGGGAGGTTGTATTAGCAGCCATTGCATTTTAAAGCCGGTATATTTTGATGGCACCTTGGATTCATTTTCAAGATTGAGTTCCGTTGTTACATCTAATGTTTTTACTTCTGACATATATTTTGTTTTGATTCAGTTAATATAGTAAAGAAGATAACTTACAGTGTCAACGTCCTCAAAATGATCAAATTATAATTAAAAATTTTTGATGGCTACTTTCCCTAAAGTTTATATTTTGCATAAAACTTCCACTTTCTAGGAAATGTTCCTTTCATGTTTCCTCTTATTATTCCTTTGGGTCTTTGTGAAGCAGGAGGCAGAATCTGTGATTTGATTTGACATTCAGCTCTGTCCAGTGGTCTTCCTTTCTGCTCTGTCTCCTTTACTTTATATTTCTTTAAAAAGATTAGTTTTTATTACCTTTAATTTTTTAATCCTTCTGTGTAGTCAGAAAGACTAGGACACTATATACATTATTTGCTTTTATTCTTTCTACTGCTGCACATTATACATTCACCTGGTCCTAAACCTTAGGAGTTGTAAAATATTTTAAATATTTTGGTCAGTATGTAGGGAATTTGAAGAAGTAAAAGTAAGGACACTATATACTCTTAGCTACTGGGAAGGTCCTGCTTGATGAATTTTTAGATGTTTCAAGATCTTCTAGCTCACTGACAAGGACCTCGCGCAGTGTCAGACCTGGAGTGATGGGTAGAGTAATGCAGCCAGCAAATAGTTCTATTTACTTCACCAGGAAACTCTGTGGGCTACAGTGGTCATCTACATTCCTTTTTAAAAATTGGAAAACTACTTGCATACCTTAAAGGTAAATTTTGAGATAATAGCTCAAGTCAAAGTATAGAGAAAATATTTTAATCAAATGTAAAACTCTACAAAGATTAGTATATCTTTATTTCTTAACCCTTCTAAAAGAGGGCAAGAACCTTAAAGTTGAATTCTTAGAACTTTATGAATAATACAGTAATTGATTAAACTCTAGGTTTTAGTGTATTTCTTATTATAAAGCCAGGTGGTATTATAATTTTTAAATAAAATAGCATTCACAAATATGAACCATACATTTTTTTATAGCTTATATATAAAGATTTATTTAGTTCTCACATTGTCATAGATTATAAATAAATATTTTAGAAAATGTATATCCAGTTTGTAATGTGTTTCACTGGAAAATCTGGTTCTATTAAATCGTAGAGCAGCCCCGAGCGGTTTGGCTCAGTGGATAGAGCATCGGCCTGCGGACTGAAGGGTCCCAGGTTCGATTCCGGTCAAGGGCATGTACCTTGGTTGCAGGCACATCCCCAGTAGGAGGTGTGCAGGAGGCAGCTGATCGATGTTTCTGACTCTCTGTCCCTCTCCCTTCCTCTCTGTAAAAAATCAATAAAATATATA